CAGACATAAATAGAAATGAGACCACATTTTCAATATAAAACAGATCAAGCAGACAAAAAACATAAGAAGATAACACAGCTTAAACGACATCATAATGTAGAGCTTGTGGATACCTGTCAAAAGCTGCACCCTGACAAAATACATATTGTTCTCATATATCCACAAAACAGTCCAAATATTGATTATTTTAATTTGCAAAACACTGGTAACTTTCATAAGGTAGAAATGTTATAAATAATACTTTGAACAAAATGCAAAGACACTAGAATTTACTAACAAAAAACCAGAAAGACTTTCTTTCCACCTGGACATTTTAAAGCCTCATATTAACTCTTGGGTTAAAGAGAGTTGGAACTACAGAATTTTTTTTTTTAAAAAGAAAAAAAGCCAAGGCAAAAAACTAAGGGAAGCAACGAAAACCAAAACCGAAAAAAATCAACCCAACAAAAAACTAACAAATAAAAAAAAAATCAAAAAGTTAACTAAACACTGAGTCCACAAATCTAAACAAAGAGTCACAAAGTACCAAGAATACAAAAACAGAAATGAATGAGGAAGAGAACAAAAAATTAGTAGATCTAATAAACTGAAATCCTGCCGTTTTAAAAAAAAATAGACAATGCATGCGGTGTGATTTAGGAGGGGAAAGCAGAAGCACAAATATATAAGAAACCAATGAAACAAGGAAGTTTAAATTATAAGAGACAGTGTGCAGAGTTAAATAAGTTTGGAAACCTATATAAAATGAATCATTTCTTAAGGAAGTACAGATTACCAAAACTGATCCAATTAAAGTCAGAAAGTCTAATCAAGTCAACTTTCATAGAATAAACAAAGTTATCATGGCACCACCCCACAAAAACTCAGCAATCTCAGATAGGCACAATCTATGTGAGAAAAATTTTAAAACAAATTTGAAAGACCCAAACGTAGATCTGAACAATGAAAAGGCATCTCCTGTCCTTGCACAGAATTCATATGTAAAGATTTCAGTTCTCAAGTTAGTTTATAAATTTAATGCAATCCAAGGAACTTTACAGAACTTCCCTGGTGGCTCAGAATGTAAAGAATCTGCCTGCAATGCAGGAGACCCAGGTTTGATCCCTGGGTCAGGAAGATCCCCTGGAGAAGGGAATGGCTACCCTCTCCAGCATTCTTGCCTGAAGAATCCCAAAGACAGAGGAGCCTGGTGGGCTGTAGTCCCCAGAGTCACAAAGAGCCAGACATTACTGAGTGACTAACACTTCCAAGAAATTTTATAGAACTAGACTGAACTGTTTTGTTTGAACTGTATTAATGTACTGCACATTTAAAATGTAACAGAACCAACAAATATGGGCAAAAACAAATTGGAATAAAGCAAGCAAATAAACTATTTCATATGAGTAATTTAACCACAGTTAAGGAGAAGAAAAAAGAACAAATTCCAATAATTTTTTTGGGGGGGCCATATCCTGTAGCATGAGGGAATCTTAGCTTCCTGACCAGAAATCAAACCCTGTGCCCCTTGTAGTGGAAGCATGAAGTCTTAACCACTGGACCACCAGTCCCTCACCAATAACTTTTTTACTAACCTCTGACTAACAAACAAAACTGAGAAAAAGATTCTGAACTGTTAATATGCCTTTTTAAAATGGTGGCTTATCAATTAATTTTACAACAACCTAATACATTCTAGGACTGAACCAACAAAATTGTTGAGCACATGCAGAAAGGCAATACAAAAATAGAAAACTAGAAACCTCTATGGTTTTAAATGGCAGTTGCAGGTTTAGGTATGAACTCACGATGAGATGAAGACAGAGAGGGAGAAGGAAAGGGAGGAAGGAGTGGGCAGGTGAGTCTGGCCACATAAAAATGAGTGTGAAGGATGGTACACACATACATATTTCCTCGCTCTCCCCACTAAGAGGAACTAGAACCAAAGATGCTCTGGTAGGAATGAACACCTAGCACCCAGATGCTATCTCCTAAACACTCTCCTTCATTAAACAGAACTAGGGTTCCTTGGATAAATGGCTAATTTAAAGCCAGAGCAGGGAAGTACAAGAGGAACCTGGAACATTTGGAAAAGCAGAGAAACACTCCAAGAACCAGGCAGCACTGTAAGATCTGACAACAAAACCCAAACTCCAAGCAAACAACACAGAAAGCACTGTCCATAAAGAAACCAATCTGAGCAAAAAATAAGTTAGTAAGACATTTCAGCTCACTGAATAAGATACTAGGAATATGTAAGTCCATAGTCATAAATGAAAAAAAAAGTCAGCAAAAAGGAAAAGCTCCTTACAGTAGAATGCTAACTAGTAAATGTAGAAACAACAATCAAATTAGACCATCACCATTTCACAAATATGGTTATAACTGACTCAGGCAAAAATCATCAATGGATGTTAAAGCAAGCAGATTAAAAGACTGAAGAACAGATAATCTACCAAATTTCAAAGACTCTCCCAACAGAATATTAATTGTACGGTGAAAAAGAGTAACTTTTCAATGGAAAAATTCGGCAGACATTCTCTTAAGCAAGTGATCAAAGTTATCAGTAATGAGATTAAAATCAGATGCCTCCGGATCTGACACACCTGAGAAGAGACATCACTTTTGAGGTGCTCTTGCTAAAAGTATACCACCTCATAACGATGAAATTATTTGCAGGGAAGCAATGAAGAAAGACACAGAGAACAGACTTATGGACATGGAAGAAGGGGAGGAAGGTGCGAGTGGGATATATAGAGACAGTAACAAGGAAATACACGTCACTGTATATAAAATAGATACCAATGGGAATTTGCTGTATGGCTCAGGGAACTCAAGCTGAGGCTCTGTAACAACTTAGGTGGGCAGGATGGGGAGAGAGGTGGGAGGGAGGTCCAAGAGGGAGGGGATGTATAAAGATATACACACATATACAGCTGATTCATGTTGATGTTTGGCAGAAACCAGCACAATACTGTAAAGCAATTGTCCTTGAATTAATAAATAAATTACATACACACACACACACCTCAATCTAACCATGAGGAAATATAGGCAAATTCAAACAGAAAAATTTTACAAAGTAACTGGCCTGCACTCTTCAAAAAGATCAAGACCACCAAAGTCAAAGATTAATGAATAATTCCAGGTTAAAAGGATCCTAAACCAGAGATCAAATTGCCGACATCCGCTGGATCATCGAAAAAGCAAGCGTTCCAGGAAAACATCTATTTCTGCTTCATTGACTACACCAAAGCCTTTGACTGTGGATTACAATAAACTGTGGAAAATTCTGAAAGAGATGGGAATACCAGATCACCTGACCTGCCTCTTGAGAAACCTGTATGCAAGTCAGGAACCCACAGAACTGGACATGGAACAACAGACTGGTTCCAAATAGGAAAAGGAGTATGTTAGGGCTGTATATTGTCACCCTGCGTATTTAACTAATATGCATAGTACATCATGAGAAACTCTGGGCTGGAAGAAGCACAAGCTGGAATCAAGATTGCCGGGAGAAATATCAATAACCTCAGATATGCAGATGACACCACCCTTATGGCAGAAAGTGAAGAGGAACTAAAAAGCCTCTTGATGAAAGTGAAAGAGGAGAGTGAAAAAGTTGGCTTAAAGCTCAACATTCAGAAAACTAAGATCATGGCATCTGGTCCCATCACCTCATGGGAAATAGATGGGGAGACAGTGGAAACAGTGTCAGACTTTATTTTTTTGGGCTCCAAAATCACTGCAGATGGTGATTGCAGCCATGAAATTAAAAGACGCTTACTCCTTGGAAGGAAAGTTATGACCAACCTAGACAGCATGTTAAAAAGCAGAGACATTACTTTGCCAACAAAGGTCCGTCTAGTCAAGGCTACGGTTTTTCCAGTGGTTATGTATGGATGTGAGAGTTGGATTGTGAAGAAAGCTGAGTGCGGAAAAATTGATACTTTTGAACTGTGGTGTTGGAGAAGACTCTTGAGAGTCCCTTGGACTGCAAGGAGCTCCAACCAGTCCATCCTAGAGGAGATCAGTCCTGGGTGTTCACTGGAAGGACTGATGCTGAAGCTTAAACTCCAGTACTTTGGCCACCTCATGCAAAGAGCTGACTCACTGGAAAAGACCCTGATGCTGAGAGGGATTGGGGGCAGGAGGAGAAGGGATCGACAGAGGATGAGATGGTTGGACAGCATCACTGACTCGATGGACAAGAGTTTGAGTAAACTCCGGGAGTTGGTGATGGACAGGGAGGCCTGGCGTGCTGCGATTCATGGGGTGGCAAAGAGTCGGACACGACTGAGCGACTGAAGTGAACTCAACTGAAAGAGACATAATTAAATATAACATGTCATTCTGGGTTGGACCCTAGGTGTTTATTTTTTGCTACAGAAGACATTATTAGAAGTAGCAAAATATGATTAGAACTACTATGATTAGACAGTAGTACTGTAGCAATGGCAATATACTGTTTTGATAACTGTACTGTGGCAATATTCATGTTCCTGTTCTTACGAACATTCCTGACATTCAGGGTGAAAAGACATCATGACAGCAAGTTACTCTTAAGTGGCTGAGAAAAAGAAACAGTGTTTAGTTTTATAAATATATTAAAATATTAACAATTAGAATCTGAGAATGGTATATACAATTTCCTTGTATTAGAGTATTCCAAATTTTCTATAAGCCTGAAATATCAAAAATAAAAAATACTTTTCATTTCATTTTTATATTTCTTATAAGAATTCTATGTAATACAGTATTTATTTAAATGGATACAATATACTTTCATCAATACAAACGTTCTAAATGATAAAACACTGTCATTTTATCTGGTAGTTTGTTTTTTGCTTTTAGTGATAAACTAACAATGTATCTTATAATCAGTGAAAACTTATATTCAAGGAAATACAATGCTTTCAAAGTTTCACAGGGAAATTTCGCTTTAAAAGGAACAAACTGGCCCTGCTGTGTCTCCAGCTCAGAAGAGAGCCAGCATCACGGCCACAGCACCACGCACGCACCTGGTGCTGCTCGAGTAATCCCACATTGCCACCTCCAGGAGGCTGCGGACCCAGGTCTTAGAAGGCTCCTTCAGGAACTTTTGCTGGTAGATCCCTACCACAAGATCCTCTACAGTGAGCAGCTCCAGCTCCTGTCTGACTTCTTCCATGGGTAAATAAAAACAAACACAGAATTAGTGAATTCAAGCACACGGAACACGTACATCAAAATGGAAAAAAACCAATACTAAACTCACCTGATGACTTTGCCATGTGCTTCAAACACCAGTTGACTCTGGCTCTATCAGCAGACTAGAGAAGGGAAAAATTTTACTTGTATTTTCTTCTATCCTCTGTTACTTTCAATTAATAAGGCCCTTTCAAACTGTGGCAGGGAGGAGGGGTAAGGGGAAGGGAAACGCTGAAGAATTCGTGAAAACTAAATGAGAACTGTTAAAAAAAAAAAAAAGAGCAACATATACTAGAAAATACTGCTAATAACAACCAGTTATGTTCATAAAGCATTGTTAATATACTTTATGAACAGCAAGTGAGACTAAGGGTAGGCAAATGAAACCAATGTTCAGAAAAAGATAAGGTGATTTGTGTTCGTGGTGAGAAATGTTCTATTTTTACTGTTTAATTAATAAAACAGTAAGGTTAAAACCCAATTCTACTACACCGAGCCTGAAAGAATTTAGACAAAACAAAGAATAAAGATTACAAAAAGAAGATCAAGGAATTACTACAAAAAACAGTTCTGAATAAACGGTACTCTTGCCTTGAAGTGATAGGTGTACAAACTAGAAACCCACCCTCCAGGGTAAACAGACATTGAAGGTATTTCACAGGAGGAACCATAAACATGAAATCCACCAAAGGTGAAATACATTCAGTTACTGCAGTCTGCAAAATCCCTCCAATATTAGAGAAATGTAGAAGAAAAGGCACTATATGTACCTAATTACATTCAAAGCAACTAAAAATGAACATATTTTAACACACAGTTAATACACAGGCTAAAGTTCTTTCTTTGGGTATCTTTCATGGATCTTCTGTTTTCTAAGTAGATGACTTAAAAGAAGTTCTTATGTTGAAATTACCTTGCAGTAGATAGGTGGCCAGTTCCCTGGGTTTGGATGAATGAACCTATAAAGATTTTGTAACACAGTTGCTTGGTCATGCCCAGATTCAAAGTGTGAAATAGGAATCTTGTGACTAGAATCACCTGAAGTAAAAAAGTAGGTAGGAGTTAAAATTTGACCAAGACAAATATTATGGATTAGGTACAGAAGGGTGAGTATAGGAAGGAGTAGTGGGTATTTAAGTACTTGTACCAAGCCTGGTAATGGTCAGGTACTTTACACATTTTATCCCATAATGTTATAAAATAGGTAATATACATACATACTAGAGAAGAGAGAACGGAGAATCACAGAAGTTAACAATGTTAACAGCTGCTGAAGAGTGGAGTCAGGACTCAATCCCAGGCTTGTTAAGTTAAAGTAGCAGTGTTTTCACCATTTCTATGTCACCTTTCATGAACTGTTTTACTAAAAAGGCTGGAGACCTTGATAGTAATGATTGGTTTTTAGAAGGTTGTAAAATGATATTTCCTCTTCCAGTAAAATACAGACCAAGTAACACAAACTTCCCACAAAAATTTAGGATATCGAAAACAGCTATAGTAGAAAGGAATTATCAGGTCAAAAGCAAAAAAAGCCACAGAGGTAATCAAATGCAGAGAGAGGTGATCAAAATGCAGAGAAGTCAGAGAGGTCAGCCTAACTCGAGGCAGTTTTTACCCTGGCTGCTGCTGCTAAGTCGCTTCAGTCGTGTTGGACTCTGTGTGACCCCAGATACCGCAGCCCACCAGGGCTCTGCCTGGAGCTCTATCCTGGAGTCATTTGCTAATTCCTTAAGAGGAAGTTTACTGGCTAAGAAGTGTGTTTCAGACAGCTTTGGGGGCCTGGACTGTGTGACCCCAGGTGTCTAGAAAAAGCAATCATAAATCCTTTCTACAAGAGAACCATCAACCTCAAATTACCTTAACTCATTTTTTTCCAGATAATCTATATGAATAAACCAGATACACACATACAAAAGAGTGAGAACCAAGACAAAGTTGAAAGACAAAACTGAGTCCAGAAGCTGAAGTTTCTGGACACAGATTTTAAATCATCATGCTTATTATCTGATGAGATCAAATTACGAATTTCAACATAAAATTGGAAACTATTAAGAAAAAGAATGCTAGGAACTCTCTGGTGGTCTAGTGATGAGGACTCAGCATTTTCACTGCGGGGGCCCTGGGTTCAATTCTGCAAGCAGCACTGTGCAGCCAACTAAAAAAATAATACAGGAAGAGTTCAAGTTCTTAATGACAGACTAAGGAAAATATGGAACACATCAAACACCTGCTTGAAAGCACTGCAGAGATATAAATGAAGAGAGGAACTGTAAGTCCAAGATCTTAAAATGAAGAAATCCTAGAGAGCTGAATGTGGCATTTGGGTATGTTGGTTATTTTGGCATTTACCAATCCTAGAAGAGATACAGAGACTGAAAAACTGAGATTTCAACAGACCTATAGCTAGTAAAAATTTAAAATATTACTCTAGAATTACTTGTGCATATATAAAAATTTATAAATTAAAAAATACTCAATTGTCTTCTGGCCTCCACTGTTCATTCTGTGAAGCCCATTATAAACTTTACTGATGATTTCTTTGCATGTGTGCCAAGTCATACTGTTCAGTGCTCAAAAATGACGAGACATATTAAGAGTGCTGAATGCGTGATTGAACACCAAGATAAACAGACTACAAAAATACATCCAAAAAAGAAGATCCCCATAATACAGTTATCAAACATAAAACTTTAAAAAACAAGGTTTATTATGTTCAAGGAAATACAATTACTGATAACTTAAACAGAACCATAAAAAAGAACCAATGTAGACTCAAAAACTGAAAATACATTCCCCAAACCATTTTAGGATGGCAAAACAGCCTTGATGACAAGATGAAGATTAACCTCAGGTTGAACATGAATGCACAAATCCTAAGACAAAATACTGGGTTGTCCAAAAAGTCTGGTTTTTCTGTAAAATGGCTCTAGTAGTGCTTAGGTGTCTTTTAACTTCACTCAAAACAATTTTGTTGGACTGTATTGTAACAGTTGTCATATAAGCATGCATTTTAAAAAGTTTACCAAAACTGCTGAATTTTTGTGCAGCCATTTTAATATTGAAGATGGAAGGGAAAAAAGCCACATTTTCAGAATAATGTGCTTTATTATTTCAAGATAAAAATGCAACTGAAGTGCAAAGGAAGATTTGTGAAGTATATAGAAAAGGTATTGTGACTGATCAATATGTCAAAAGTGGTTTGCACAGTTTCATGGTAGAGATTTCTTGCTGGATGATGCTCCATGGTTGGGCAGACCAGTTGAAGGTGATAGCAATCAAACCGAGACATTGAGAACAATGAACCTTATTCCACACGGGAGATAAGTGACATACTCAAAATACCCAACTCAAGCACTGAAAATCAAAGCACTGTAGTAACTGCTTTTATTAAATATGTTTGGGTTACACATAAGGAAAAAAAATCAACCTTCTTGATCATATTTCTGAATGCAATTCTCTACTTAAAACAAAAACATTTTGTTTTCTGAATAAATTGTGACAGGTGATAAAAAGAAGATAGAGTATAATAATGTAAGTGGAAGATATCATGGGGCAAGCAAAATGAACCACCACCAACCACACCAAATGCCGATCTTCATCCAAAGGTGATGGTGTGTACAAGGTGGGACTGGAAGGGATGAGCTTCTTCTGGAACACCAAACGATTCATTCCAGCAATGACTACTCCCAATTGGATCAACTGAAAGCAGCACTCAATGAAAAGCACCCAGAATTCACCAAAAGAAAACTTATAGTCTTCCATCAGGATAACGCAAGTTTGCACGTTTCTCTGATGACCAGGCAAAAGCTGTTAAAGCTTGGCTGGGAAAAGTTCTGAGTCATCCACCATACTCACTAGACATTGCACCTTCAAATTTCCATTTATTTTGATCTTTACAAACTTCTTTTAAAGAAAAAAATTTCAATTCCTTGGTGTAAAAAGGCACCTGGAACAATCCTTTGTTCTAAAAGGTAAAAAGTTTTAGGAAGATGGAATTATGAAGTTGCTGAAAAATGGCAGAAGTTAGTGGAATAAAATGGTGAATCACTGTTTAATAAAGCTCTTGGTGAAAATGAAAAATGTGTCCTTTATTTTTACTTTTTAAAAACCAAAGGAACTTTCTGACCAATCCATATTAGCAAACCAAATCCAGCAATTTATTTAAGAGTTATATAGTGAAGATGTTGGATTTGTTCCTGGAATGTAAGGTTAGTTTTTAAGATTAGTAAATCACCATACAAACAAAAGACACAAATCATCTGATATCCAGAAAGAGTATTCATTAAAACATGCAACTGATATCTCTGGTGAAACTGGGAACAGAAGGGAAGTTCTTTATCCTGATAAAGAGTATATACCAAAACTAAAAAAGAGAGAGAGAGAGAAACTACAGCAAAGAGAATACTCACTGGCGAAAGATTAGAAACGAGAGTTCAATCCATGAACACAGTATATTTCTCCATCTGTTTGTGTCCTCTTTGATTTCTTTCATCAGTGTTTTATAGTTTTCTATGTATAGGTCTTTTGTTTCTTTAGGTAGATATACTCCTAAGTATTTTATTCTTTTT